CTTAACCCTTGACTTGGTGTTGTCAGCACCACGCTCTCCCAAGTGAGCCACGGGCCGGCCAACACAATGAGATTTTTGGTGAACCTTTTGTTTCTATTTTATAAACTGTAGCTGTGTGTGTACATGTCACAATGTAAACTATGTTTCTTGCTGTGAAAAAAAATCTTTTGAAAAGCACTGCTTTGGTAGATACTGAAAGCAAGAGAGGAAGCTTGATCTTTAGTTTGATCTTCAGAGACGTTTTGGGAAGTTTGGTTTAAAAATAAAGAAAAAAGTGGATGCAGTGGGGAGTATTTCCAGGATGATGACCACGTCACAGACACTGTGCTGGATCTTAACCAACCTGACAAGAATGGGCCTTGGGGCGGGTGTGGGGGGCACGGGAGAGGCTTGGCAGGAATTTCGTTCGTTTTCTAAGTGAAGGGAGTTTAAGCAATTCATCCAAAGTCATAGCTAGTAAGAGGCAGATTCCCAATCCCAACCCAACAGTCATCTCCTAGGTCACAGTTCATAGCCACAGCGGAAGGAGGAGTATGGAAACCTAATTTCTTTCTTTAAAATTAGCTATAGACAATCCTACTTGGTTCTAAATCATGACCACCATTATCACCATGGCTAATATTTATTAAGCCCTCCTTCCCTTTGTTCAGGCACTGTTATCAAGTACTTCAAAACTTTCATTCCATTTAATCTTCCCAAAAACCTCATGAGATAGATACTACAATCTTTCCTGTTTACTGAAAGCTTTGAACAGTTTGGTCACCTGCCCAGAATCACACAAACATTGTAGATGCAAATCCACAAGAAATAGCTGAATGCAGTTTTATTTACCTTCCTACAAATATTCAGGGAAAATATCNAACCAGAGCTACTAGCCAATAATGCAAAGAGCTTCAGGTACTTACTTTAGCCTTATCTTAATGTTTTCCTTTAAGTAGCAAGTATTTCCTTCTAAAGAAAAAAACTTCAGAGAATTATCCCCCAAAAAACAAAACAAATAAACAAAAAAACCCCACCTCTGACAACTGATCTCTACATAGCTCAGAGCATAGGGACTGTGGTAACATCCAAAGACTCCCTGGCCTCCGAAGCTTCATCAGGAGCCCCGAGCCACACCGACCAGCGAGAATGTAAACTGGCACAATTTCACTACTGACCTACACTTTGCAATTGTGGGACCCTGGATACTAATCAGAGAATTGGGTTGACTCTTTAAAAACAGAAGAGAACAAGGTAACGGACCAAAGTGAACACACCCTAGTACAGGGTTTTCCAAAGTGTGTATCACAGCCCACAGTGGGTATTGAGAAAATCAACTCACTGAATTATTCTACTTAATATTGTTAATGTGGGGATTATTTCTTATGAACTTAAATATCAATAAGATAATATTTGATGTCAATTGTTATTATTTTATCTGACATAATTGAGATTTTTTTTTTTTAAGATGACTGGTAAGGGGATCTTAACCCTTGACTTGGTGTTGTCAGCACCACGCTCTCCCAAGTGAGCCACGGGCCAGCCAACACAATGAGATTTTTGGTGAACCTTTTGTTTCTTTTTTATAAACTGTAGCTGTGTGTGTACATGTCACAATGTAAACTATGTTTCTTGCTGTGAAAAAAAA